TCATGGCGCAAGCGGTCCACAGGAGCCATTCCAATTCATTGCCACGAATCCAAGACGAATGTAAACACTCACTGCCACATTCAATGTATCTCATTCTATCCTCTCGTCTTCAAGCAAGTAGAGTTTCCTTCCAATGTAATGTAATTGAAAGCAACCAGAGCTGACGTAATTAAGTACGGTTCTGTGTTTGCAATGCAGCTCATTTCATTAGGTTTCTTATTGCAGCAGAGACAGATGATAAGCGGATGTGATAAGCTTATGTTTTTGTTTGAGTAATGTGTTATTGCTCAGGTCTGCCATGGCTTTTTATGTCTATCACACTATGGATTACTAACATCATAAATAGTAAGCTTACTGCTGATAACATTGCTCACATCAGATAAAAGGTTTTTAAATACCTACTTAATCTACATAGCTTACTTTGGTCATCACACCAAGGTGTCAACTAAATTGTCTGTTTATCATGAAACAACAAAAACAACAAAGACTGTAACAATGTACAGTGTTTGTCGTTTTAACAGTGTAACAATCTATAATGAATAATTAATATTCAGCATATGTTTTTAAAGTTAATCTTTTGAAGGTTTTAGATGGTTTCAATTTCCCAAATGTAATATTAGTCTTCAATACATTTGAAGTATTATGAGCCTTGTCTTGTAAAAGAATTAATGTGGGGTTGATAAAAAATTCTTTATATGGAGAGCGGAAAACTATTTTGATATGAAGTGAGATATGAATTGAAATGTGGAATCATGATTTCAAACTTGAATCATAATAAAACATGCCTCATTAATTATTTCATGTTTTGTAAACTTTACCAGCCTAAAATTTAGTGGTACTTTAAGGATTATGTCAGGGCGTTGGTGTTGGGCCTTCAAATTCTTTGGATGATGGAGATGAAATGTGATCATTATGATGGTTCATGTGTATCAACTGAGATAAATAGACTATCCTCTGATGTCGTGGGTGCTTTCATCTGATGCAACACTATCCATTTCATAAGGTGTAAGCACTTCACTTGTCATATATACATTTGCTTCTGATCACAGCTGTGAAAGAGGTTAGGTTTCTTTTATATAAAACACATATCGTCCTTGTTTTCACGAAGTGACGGTAGTGAGGAAAATCGTAACGCAAAGTGAATGCAATTTTTGTTCACTACCGTCACTTCGTGAAAACAGCGACGATATGGGCCAGTCCCAGAAAACAATAGACTTGCCTAGTGTGTTGATACCATTAATGGAATTTCTTTCTATTAATTCTATGAAATTATATTTTTACCTGATGAGGCTAAATTTGCTGGCCTTAAGGCGGAATTGAGGAGGAGAATCAACTTTTTAAAGGTCCTATTAAGCTGAAAGATAAATTGTGTAAACAAATATGTTATGGTGTAGAGAGTGCACAAAGGTAAATGATTTATTACAGCATTTCGGGAAAGTGCTGGTTTGCATATACATGTACTGTTCTAGTGTTACAAGGCATTCACACAGAAAGTTGACCAAAATGAATGATAGAGTTCCCATTATATACAAAACAATGCTCAAATTCTTCTTGCTAATGGTGTTTTGCTATAGGGTGTTCATACAAGCAAATTAAATATGTTTATCATGTATGATACTATCTGAAACAAAATATTCTGATTCTTTTCTCCATCTATTTTGGTAGGTAAAATTGTTCTATTGACAGACACAGAGAGAGAGAGAGAGAGAGAAAGAGAGAAAGAGAAAGAGAAAGAGAAAGAGAGAGAGAGAGGGAGAGAAAGAGAAAGAGAAAGAGAGAGAGAGAGGGAGAGAGAGAGGGAGATGGAGAGGGAGAGAGAGAGAGAGAGGGAGAGGGATATCTAATTCAATGAAAGTGATGCTTAGATGTATGAGTGTGATACCAGTCCATCATTGCTCAGATAAGTCCATGCACCAACAACATAAAATATACATGAACTATGTCGTAACTTCTGCCTTTGTTTAGAATTATTCTCTTCCCAAAATTCATGTTTTTTTCTCAAGACAGTCCTAGCTTTATGACTTAGCTGATCAAACAATTTCTCCTGCGTAATAGCATTATGACTCAGGCCTGCCGGTCCATCAAACCTTAGAATTGTAGAGCCCTTTCATCTGAGAGTAATGATGGGTTTGGATAGCCTAGCTGATGTGGAAGCATTAGGGAGAATGTGAGCGGGGCGATTTCTCCGTAATCACAGGTTGGTGTCGTAGACGTGAGTCATACATTGGCAGAGGCCGTCTATTTCTGGCTATTTGACACAATGCAGGCCAGACAATGTAATCATGGAGATGAATCGATAGAGATCCTCAATCCAGCAGTGGTGGTATCAATTGCTTCCCGCTTCTTTTCTTTACGGTCATTAAGAATTCATACCAATAGTGACCTTGAACATTATCATCACAAAGAATTCATCCTTTTGCCCAAACGGTCAGAATATTTTCCACCGTTTAAGTGGACTGTACTGTTGCATTTATTCAGAATTCTTTGTTCTGTTTTGTGATTGTGATTTACTGCTCGTTTGCAAGATAAACAAAGATGGATGGCGCAATCTATGAAAAATTACTGCAGATATAATCCAAGTGTATGACTCAGAAGTCTGAGTAATGAGGGATTTGTTATTAACTTTAGAACCATTTGATGATGATGGTAGCATGGTGGTGGAGAATTTATGAGAAAGTGGTAGATTAGGAGGAATATTAGAGAACAAAGAGGGAGATGAAGGAAAGGCATAAAATGTGAATAGGATGGAGCGGGAGAAGAAATTCATGATTGAAATAAATCATTTGACTCATATTGGGAGAATTTTGTTTATTGTAAAACCACATCTGTCTTGAATATGCGCAGTTTTAGTTATAGAAAGCTTTCAAAGAGAGAGGTGTCTTTAAATTGTGCATTAGTGCATGATGAGAAAGCTATCAAAGAGAACAATCACCATATCCCCCAATCTAAGGTAGATGACAACATGTTATTTACCCAGACTTTATTGAATGCTCTTATGTTTGATTGCATGTCAGTGCCCTTTATTCTGTAATTAGTGATTGTTATTTTTTTGTATCTTTGTATAGGGATGGGCCTATGTTGAATAGTTTTCATATGAAAATGGATATGGACTCTATGACCTTTTGAAATTAATACTATTGATTGTTGATTGTATTAATTGCCCTTTAGAATTGAAGAGCCTATTATATGACTTGTACGATGTATTATTTTTTGTGAGTAATTTGCATCTATTGACCTGTTACGATTTTATTTTAAAGGGGCAACCCAGAGATTGCTGTTACATTTGTAATTAGACAAAGTGGCATAAAGTGTATTGTAGAGGTGACATAATGATCAGTTATTCCCATTAGTATTACATAAATGCATCCCTTGTGTGTAGGCGGCATTGTATTTACGTCATCAAGTTGTGGGGAAGAATTTCTACTCATAAAGTGTGTGTATGTTTTAAACAGTCACCTTGTATGATAACACTTACAGGCATCATGTTTTATTGAAAGAAATTAGAAATGGGATTGTGTATTCCCAGATGTTGATGCTGATGTAGTGCATAATTTATGCTTCTACCGTTTCTTTGTGCCTAAGAATCTTTCAAATAGGTGGAGAAGGAAGTGCAGGGAGTGAGGCAGAGAGAAACTGTCTCGAGTTACTAGCTTATTTTCACAGTCGAGGGTGTCTTGGGACAATGCATTTATGGGAAATCAATCCTGCTTGCCTGGAGACGTGTTTCCCTGTTTAAGAGAGAGAGAGAGAGAGACAGAGAGACAGAGAGAGAGAGACAGAGAGAGAGAATGGCGATACATAAGAAAATAGGAAGAAAGTATGAATGGGATAAAGAGAGAAAGGGAAGATGAAAACCAGAGAGAGACAAAGTGATGGGGGCAGAAGTAAGATGTAGATTCAGGTAGAGCTAGAACTGAAGCTTTTGAGTGAATATGATTTCAAGGGATGGATGAGAACACAATAATTGCACAAAAAGTGAAATTTGCCAGGATTAGAAGAAAGATAGAACGGGATGAATAGTGATAAGGTAAGAGGAAAGAGGAGGGAGAAAAAAATATGGGGGTTAAGACATGACTTCAGGGTATGGATGAAAGGAAAAGAATTATGCAAATAGTGTATTGGCAAGATAGGAAGAAAGAGATGATGGGATAAAGAGAAAAAAGAAAAGACAAGAGGATAGAGAAAATGATGGGGGGGGGGGGGGGAGACATGCTGATGTAGATTGTCATACAAATGTGACTTTAGAGGATTGACAGAAGCACGGCAATCACACAAAACGTAGATTGCTAGGATAGAAAGAGAGAAAAAATGAGATAAAGAGAGAAGAAGAAAGAGAAAACCAGAGAGAAAAGGATGGAGACAGAGATGGAGATGTGTAGATTGGTGAAAATAAAGCTATTTGGAGAATATGACTTCAGGGGGTAGGACCAGAGCATGAGAGTTACACAAAAGAAGTGAAATACCAGGAAAAAAATGAGAACCATTCAGGGTGTGTGATAGACTGCCAGCTCTAGACAAAGAAGTTCTGTTAATGTTTCCCCTGTGTCATATTTCTACAGATGACTTGTATGAGTTCTTGAGTGAGTTGGCTGGAAGCCAAAATTATTCCACCACTTTCCTCCTAGTAATATTAAAGGCAACATGTTTTTGAGAGAGTTTTCTGAGATGACAGGTGTGAAGGCACGCATGGTTTAAAAATGAAAAAGTAGTGGTGGTACATTTGGTATATTGTTGATAAAACCTGTCTTGGTTGAACAAAATCGTTTTATTCTCCCTGCATCATCCAGAGCTGTTGATGGAAGATGCATGATGTATCTATTTTCAACCACATAACGTATTAATACATGTAGTTAATGACTTTTTATCAACAAAAGATATTCACTTTTATCACATGTTTTTGTTTGTTTGTTTTTGTTTTGTTTAGAATGTTGTATGTATTGTGATAATGGTGTGAATGTGGTTCAAAAATATAATTTCTGCATATGTTTTTATCCCTACAGATGCAAGAATTGGAGGAGAAAGTCGAGGTGTCGACTACAAGAGCTGAAAAAGCAGAGAAAGAAGTAAGTAATAGGTATTTTCTCAATTCTTAACAATCCTTGAATAGTTCCTGTGGTACTTTTTTTGGAGTATAATTTCTTACATGTTGTCTCACATTCAGATATTTAACAACATACATAGTATAAAGTTGATTATGTTGACTGATAGATTCATTTGTTTTTTGATGGAAATTACAATGGTTTCATCAATATAACCGTATTGCCAATGTGATATTTGATTGAATCACCTTTAAAGGCAGTCAATATTATATACATATTTCTTATCTTCAAGTAAGATTCTATGAATGAAAAAAAAAGCTGAAAATGATTTAATATTTGTTTGTTCGCAACTTTGCATGTTACTTTTGCCCGGATGGATAGTCTGATGCACAATAAAGAAAAAAGAAGAAAAAAATATTATAAAAAATCCACTGATGACTATCTTCATCAGATGTTGAAGTACTTTACATCCACAGCGTACCTTTGTTCAGACTGTGTGTTGAAATATGATTTATGGCATGTAATGTACAGTCATTGTAATGAGAGTGTCACTGAGATGAGTAATGGCTAATGGCTAGGAGGTCACACTCATACTTGTAATTACAATATCTGGGCCAAACAAAAGAGATTCCATCTTCCGATGCAATCCCACCCTGGAGCGACGTTGGATTGTACGTCTTAGCTCGGAATGGATCTCTATAGTTTGCCTTCCAGCATGCTAGTTGATAAAATCATGTATGGACATGGAAAGGAAGGACGATTCAACGCTGGCTATCAGTCATATCTTTAATAACCTCCAGTTGTGGGTGCTTTCACACTGGATGAGTTAGTTGTATAGAGACGTCTTACAAAGCGTAAAATTTGATGTATTTTTACTGTTGAAAATGCAAATCTCATTATTAAAGCTACTTTCAGAATGTAATTTTAACGACCATTTAATATCTTCAAGCAGTTGACCAACAATATGGCTCTCATAGACCGCTGAGCATTATAGAAATTATTTGATTTAAATGATAGATCTGCATAGCTTTACATTCATTATCAAACTTGCACAAGGAATTTGGTCATTCATCACAACTATTTTTTCCTGAACACATCACTGTTACTCTCAAGAGATGACTAGTGAGTGCCTATTTGCACTGAAATGTAGTATTGGAACAATAGGGTAGAAGTATATATGGAACATCAAAATAATTGATCCTGTACATGCACTTACTAGCGACTTCATTGAATTGGTAACTTCGTCATTACAGTACATGTTCAGACTTTGTCTAAATATGAACAATGGAATTACCTATTCATTTACAATCATAATGAATTATTTAGAAGGAATATAAAAATGCTTCTCTGTTTCTCACAATAACCTCTGTCACGTTCTATTAGACATTGACACCTGAATGCTGTAGTCAGCGGTAGGATAGTATTTCCAATTAAAACACATGCTATGTCATTTGTGTACATTCAGTGTTGTATTGCACAGTGAGTGTGTTTGCAACCTGCAGTTGGTATGGATACGTGATAACCAGAGCGGACAATATTTCGGCTAATCAAATCTCATGAATATATCATGTACTGCATGTAAGTTACTACAAGTGCTAGCATGATTATAATTAGCTCACTCTCTTCATGTAATATTAGCAGTAGTTTTTTGTTTTTGAAAAAGATAGACCGATAGATATATAGAAATTAGAAGACTTTAATTTGAAAATTGAATGTTAATCTATGATGAGAGAATAAGAATGCTTTCAGAAATGAAATAAGGTTAGTCCTGATGTCAGTGACTTTGAGATATGTGGGTATGAAATCATTTGAAAAATGTCAAGCTGTATTTTACAATTTTTACAAAACTAATAGAAATGTGGTTTGATTTTGAATTGATGAAGCAATTTGCAAACTAGCCCATGATTTTGTGTATCAGGATTAACTTTAATCTCATTTTTCGGCATACATATGAAGTAGTGCTTCCGTAATTTACATCAGGATTAAATTTAATCTGATCAAGCAAGGATGGGCCAGTAGGATCAGCTAGGGCATTAGTTTCGGCAGACATATATAAACACAAAATACTTGTGATGTGCAATATTCATCTATTTTACGGAAGGTCAAAACGAGATTGATCGCTTGAGCTCTAGCGATGCAGGCTTCCTCCCGAATTGCTCTCATAAATTTCATTTCAGTCACATAACGCTTTACGGTACCCTTGGAATTTTGAGATTTCAAACGACATCCTGGTCATATTTAATAATTTCCCATCACATCTGTAGCCAGATCCTATATGAGTTTCATAATTCATTTCCAAAAATACTGTTTCATTGCTCGTCATATTTCTCATCAAAATATGATTGTTGTGATGCGATGTAAAAATCAATAGTATCATACCTTCATGTATGTATTTGAGTCACTAGACCTATATACACATGTATGCATTTGGTACAGTACGGCTGTAAACATTCTTCAATGGTTAACACACAAATAGATTGTCTGGTATGATATGATGAAAATATTGTGCCAGTTTTACACTGCATGCATGTCATTTAGAGATATATTGATTCAAAAGAGTAAATTAGTAAGTGGTATAAAAATTGACAGTTTTCCTATGAGTCATGTGGCAATGGCGCCGATAGAAAATATAGTCTAATAAATGTAGTTACATTCAACTTAATGATGAAAAAGATATGAATGTACCGGTATTAAATGACGATGATGATTATAGCATTCATCATATCTGTGAAAATGGAACATGAAGTCATAGATCTCCTTGGCCCTGCATAGATGCAACACGTACATGTCGGCCTGTCTGTGGTGTAGTATGAGAAGCCAACCGTTTCCCCCATTCATAGCCCCTCCAAGAAAGTAATTTGAGTAAGGCAATGGTAATCAATGCTTGTCTGCTGAGTGCATTAAGATTCGAAGGCTCGTCGCCATGACATATGGACCTACGATTTGTTTGTGCTAGTCCCACATATTCCGTTTGGCGGAGGGCTTACACTGTTTTGAATTTAAAATTCCTGAAACATTTTTGTTTTTACACATGGCTGCAGTTGACACTGCAGTTGGATCTGTTAGCTTGATAATTAATCAATAGAAAATTGTAACACTTCATAGCATATTCTTACATACATGTACATGTAGGTTTGCATGTATAAGGGTAAATATTTTGATATAAGTGGCTATAAAGAACTGGTTTATAAATTACGTTAATTTGTTTCGGTTTTCTCCTTACTCTTTTTTTAATCCCTTTTTTTTTAAATCTATGAAAGGTTTCATTGACTGAAATAATGGTCACATCCTACAAGTATCTTATTAATGTACTGCAGACCCACACAAAGATGTGTTTTAAAACATGTCAAAATAAATGGCTCCAATACAGTTAATGAATATAAATGTATTGATGTAAATCCCTCTGCTCCTGTCATTCTATAAGGCTTCATCATTGTGATGAATGTAGTTCATGTAAACCTGTTTATATTGTGCTTTTACGAGCCTTATTATCTGGTAGTTCTATCCAATTAACTGTAATTGAATTGATTATTTGTCTGTCACGTCATGGCCAAAACAACTGTTCATCAGTATACATTGTACGTTGTTCACCTTCAGCAGACATGCAGCAGTTTCAAGGTGGATGATTATTTGTATGACGTCACATTTATACTCCTGATGAAAATTGATTTTGAAAAGATACATTAATTCTAGTCTCTTCATTCATATTGTAATTGTCTGTTCTTCTTTAAAAAATGATTAAAATGAACATACAGTAGTATATTCGCAGTAGACATGAAGCATTGATACTTATCATGTTTAAACAAGTGTAGATTTAAAGTTGTACTAGCTACTTGTAGCCTATGTATATTATGCAAAGATATGTGAAATTTACAATGATCTGATAATTCAGTTCATCACATGGTCTTCTCCTATGGCATATTGTCACATGAGCAAAATGATTAGAATCAGTTAGCACATATTTCCTTGAACTCTTATAAGGTACAGGACTCTTGTTTATATTGTTGAAAGATTGCATTCAAGGATTCAATGCAATTAGAATGTATGGGGTGCAAAGACACATATGCTGCCTCCCATAGATGACAGGATCAATTTGCACTCATTTTCTCTGTCATCTTCAAACCTTGAATTACCAGGACTTGTCACCAGTTGGTTAATTGGGACTGTTCTATGCAAGGCAGAGAGAGTACTATGTGTAATCACCCTTCCATAGTGTTATCCTGTAGAATACATGTTTGTAGTTTGTGTATGTGTAAAGAATAACGCTGAGTTGTGAATTATGTAGGATATGTGAATATGTATTTGATGTAAGTCGAGCAGAAGGGTATCCCTGAGACACTAACTACACTACTAGGGATTGCCCCTGTTACCTCATTTCTATCAAACACCAAATATATTATTTTCAGTACGGTGGATGCCCATCTATCATTTCACCACCCTCCAGGCATAACGGTCACCCCATTTCATATATCTTGACCTTTGACCCATGAGGTCATTAAGAATCATGTACACTGGCACCAGAAAGGGCTACAACAAGCATGAGATCAGATGTCCTCCAAATTGCAAGAATCTCAGAAATGTAGAATGTCAACAAATTAGGGATCTTGAGTAGATTGAGATGTAGTGAGACGGGTAATCTCCTTGGAGCCTGGTTCCCATAATGGAATCTTCTCAAGTTGGAGATGAATTGAAGTAGACTTGTTTGTCAGCTCTTTGAAATGAGCATAAATTGCATATATGTTCATGTCCATTTCCATAAATGGACACGAACCATACATCATAGGTTCAGGACCTGTTTTTTTTGTTTAAAGGGTGAACTTTAAATTTGGAGTTAAACTACCATGTATTTAGGAAGCCTATCATTTTTGAAATGTTTAAATGAGATTAAGTATTCTTTCATTCCCATGAAATAATTCTCATATATGTATTTCCAAATTTTAGTTTTGAGAAAGAAAGAGAGAGAGAGAAAGAGAGAGAGAGAGAGAGAGAGAGAGTACTATTTGTATTACAAAGTACATGTACATTGTAACTATGCATTGCCCCACTTCAGAGGAAATTTCCTTGTAGAAGTGGTTTTCATCAACTGACTATATCCAGTATAAAAAACTGTTAGGCCTGCCATAATTTCATGATGCTGCAGAATATACAAACAATTGAAATATAAGACAATGAAGTACATGTATGAATCATCTATGTTCCACATTGTTTAGCCGAATGAACAGTTGACTTAGTTTTAATTGCATCCATGGTACAGATAGTGGTTGATGTGCTGGTAGGGAATAGGAAAATATTATTCATAAAAAGATATATACAATAAAATCACACTTTTGGGTGTGAATTTGGGGCATAAGTTTTATCAAGTGAAACCCATTTATTTGAATCCTTGGTAAGAGTCTATTTAATGATAGTTCATATATTCATCATGCCTTTACATGTTCATAAGCCAATATTTTCTTTCCCAACCTCAGTATATTTACTGGCTCGGCAATTTTCATTATGCACCAGCGCAATCGAATGACCTCGCTTTCATGCAGATGTGCATTCATTTTTCTGAAGTACCCAATACATTGACCTAATTGAAATCTCACCCGCACAAGCAGCTGTATTTGGAAATTCACAGGATGAATTTCTCCAGGTAGCTTCTAAATCGCTGGGCTTTTGAAGAGATCATTCATTAAGAAGTCGAATCAGTGTTGCTAAGACATGACATCCTGCAGGAACACATGACTTAGCTATCGGCGTTAAGATCGCTGGTACGCCAATTTCCCTTTGGCGATCTGATCATAGGGGAGTGAAAATGTTGTAATCATGTGTACTCATATGTGCTACATGTATGTAATTGATACTCCAGTTATTGTTGTACCGGAGAAAGGAAAAGTAGATGGAGACAGGTATAAATGTAGCTACTGCTGACATGTGGGATGTATATAATAATGTAGTCACGTAATGCACTATATTTACACATGTGTAAAGTAATAAAATAGACAGAGGCTGAAGGTAATGTGCCCTTGTAGCGCTTTTAAAAAGCCACAGTACTGTAAAGAAAAGTAGCCACAATCAAATAATATTTGTCAATAAGTTGTAATGCTTCAAATATTTGAGCTTATCTGAGTTTGATAGCTCTAGTTAAAATGCAACCCTCACACCTTTTACCTTAAAAATATTGATTTTTTTTTGCTGTTGATTTTTTTTTTTTTTTTTTTTTTTTTGGGGGGGGGGGGTTTATTGACCCCACATTGGTACAACTAAATTTAACATAGTGTTGACCGACTTGCATCATACATGCCTTCCCTGCGTGTCATCTACAAACTTCAATGACATAGATCTAGTTTTCAAGCACTTGACCCAATGGTCTACATGTGACACAACCACTAATTGTCCTTGTATACCTTATTGACTAGTTTAATTGTGGTTTGAGGGAGAATGGGTAGAGGGCATTACCACAACATTTCCAAAACTTGCCATGGGATGAATTAAGGTAAATAAAATTTTTTTAAAAATTAAACCATTTTAATGTATTAAACATCTCCAATCTGGCAGATTTTTATTTTTTTTAGCTGTAGTGTAAAGGGAATGGGAAAGAAAGAATGCAGTTTTAGTTTAAATCAATTCAAGGTTTTTAAATATCTTGTAGAAACATTGATTCTGGTCCTACATTGATTAAACCAAAGAATCACAGACCATAGTAGCACAGCAAAATTCAAGAAGGAAATTATCAAAACATGCTTGAGAAGATTTTATATGACAATACTTGATTGATGATGTTCAAAAAACAAACAAAAAATAAATGTCAATTTTCATTTTATACACAAAAATATGACTACCCAAGCATACTACAATGTTTAACTTCTCCTTAGGGAAGAAAATTTGCTCAGTACAATGTGTCTGTCAGACTTGTGGTTTGTTAGAACAGATGAAATTAAATTATGTATTGAGTGCTTAAATCTGATCAATTGTTTAACAGCCAAATATTGAGTTTAATATTGTATTGGTCAAATGAACAGCATAATATTCTCTCATCTCTCTGAACATGTTCACTTTTAAATTTATATTTTATTATAGGTTGAAGAACTGACGAAGAAGCTAGAAGCCCTGACCAAATCTGAAAGTAAGCAGGGAAGTCAGGAACAAAAGCAAGCATCTAACAAACGTATTATTACACTGGAGGGACTATGCCGAGAAAAGGAAGATGTTATTCAGCATCTAGAACAACAACTTCGTGAACAGGTATGGAAAGTGTTGACGTATTCATTCATTACCCCCCAAAAGCACAAGTGTTTTGTGTGAGTGAACTTTCTCAAAGTTGGTCTTTTCAGTGAGAGAGAAAAGATATTAAATTCTTGTCGTGATTTGAAGAAGAAAAAAATTCTGACGATTTTGTGTGAGTGTAACAGTTTGTTTTGAACAGAACTTTCCTAGATCCTGTATTTTCAGAAATAAGCAAAAAGCATTCAATTGTTGTCTTATTCAAAAAATATTCCTATCAAGAAACCCATGGAATACATATTAAATTCAAGTTTGAAATAACATGCATTTTCCAAAGAGCCCAGTGTGAGTCATCTCAGGGATGTATTCAAGGGGTTAATAAAAAACTTAATATCTCTAGGATATACGGTTTCTATCCATCCATTCTCCTAGTACCCCTCTCTGGAGAATATGAAATGCATTGATTGACGTCATAAGGGTACATTTGAATATGTCACCTAGATAACATTCATTGAAAGGTCTGTAACATATGGAAGGGGGGATTCTTTGGGTGTCGGAGGGGCTCATATCAGTTTCATGTCATGTCTCTCCATCCCTTTCCCTCTTTCATTTTAATTTTTAATTTTTAATTTTTTGGTATTTAGATTGGCGGCATATGACCCCTGTGTACTTTCCTCTGTGGTTTTTCCACTGCTCTGATATTTGTCTTTCTGATCTTATTATTTTTTTTCTTTTTTTTCTCTCTCTTCTTTCTTTTCCTCTCCATTTTAATATGATTGATATAAAAGCCTACTTACCAGAATAAGTTACCAGATGTAGCTCCTCCCTCAAAGTGCACATTTTGCAATTATAGATTGTATCATTTGCTACAATGTGGTACGAATGTTGATAGCCTTGCTACTTTGGGAAACATATTCAGATAACATTGCGAGTCATTTACATTCATGTACTGAAGCTGGCAATCAACTTGACTCCCTCATCCATTTAAACTACCAATTGAATTAATGCCTTATCCAGGCTTAGCAAGAACCCGTAAACAACATGCTTAAAGGTAAAGACCAGTTATGGTCATGCGATTGCATTGTGAAAGAATCGTTGTGAAATCGATCAGAAAAGGTTGATCATCTAGCATAGATGTACTGCAAGGTTCTGGAATCATCAAAATCAAAATGATAAGAAATTTGGCCCAGTCTTCATAAAGTTACAAGCACTGTACTCAAAAAGATGTATATGGGACTACGCACACGTGCACGACACGTGCGTTTTTATCTCTCACACACCAATAGATAAACTAATTTACCAAATATATCAATTAGTAGGCGGTTTCCCGGCAAATTTTTTATCATCATGTATTATTCAAAACATATTCTTTTACATGATTGGTAATAAGAGCTTCCATTTAATTTTTTGAAATTGGGGCATTTCCAATTCTGGTCTTTACCTTTAAAACGCAGATCAAAAAAATACTTCTGGCAGACCCATGGCAGATACTGGCCCACAAATTGAACTGCATGTGTTGGACTGGCAGGGGAAAAAAAGTCCCCATTATTGCTTCGTAGGTATGGGAATCTTATCTGGGTGGTTTTGAACATAAGCCAGACATTTTAGGGAACGGACTGTTTTTCTCGTTGGAGGGGGCGGTTTTCGTTTCGTGATTGGAAAGCCAGAGGTGGTGCTTGTTTACTGTTTGCCTTGCGAGGGAGAACGAATAAAGAACGTGTTGAAAACTCGAACTGTAGATTGTTGCACCTTGCTCACACAGCTGCTGTGTGCGGTAATATAGTTTTATTGCATCGTTAAAGAATAGGGTCCTTTATTGTGGGCAGGGTGATAATGCTTCATTAGTGTTTATTCCATTTCAGTAATACTGGTAGATGGATGGCAGTGGGTCGCCGTATATTATAGGTGCATAAGGTTTTGATGATATTCTGGTAGAATATGAAAAAGTGAAAATGAATAAAAGAAATGGGTCTTTAACCAAAGAACAATAATGTCTGATCAGTTCATGGCACTATTCAAACAGTGAAGGCATCATATTATTTGGTTATCATTTTATTCAATCATATTTGGTGATAAATTCCTACAGGATTTTCTTTAATGAAAAAAAAGAATATAAAAAAAGGTAAAGAAAAGTGGGAATACATTCTTTGTACTGTACAATGGATACTAGGATTAAAGAGGATGGAAAATAAGTGTATAAGGGGTCAAAGTCTTCATGAGATGTGGAAATAGGTGTGTGATGAATGACATATACATGTATATACAAATATAATTTTGAGGGCTCATCACAAACCAATATAACACTAGTCTTCCTGCGATAGAAGTAGTATGTGTTATATACATGCAGTTTATGAAAAAAATTTGCCAAAAAGTAGTATCTTACGATAAGCAGATGTGAAGTTAGAATTTTGAGGGCCCATCACTAAACCGATTTGACACTAATATAATTTGGTTGACAACAATCCTCAATGGAAAAAGGGTATTTTTGTATCTGATATGAATATGACTGAATGTACCTGCAGCCCAGAGTTCATAAAGTACCTCGCATTAAATATAATTACTGGCCACTTAAATGTTAAATGCAGGTTCTGGGTGAATTAAGTCTGTAATCTAGTTGATGATCATTATGAATTCTGCCTCCAAGCTATCATGACTTTCTAAGTCAAAGTCAAAGTCATATGACTTAAATATTTAAATGATTGTATGATCATCGTGGTGTCTAGCTGTAAATAGATACAGTATTCACAGAAGGAACATTTGTCTGAGTAATCCATTGATTCATTGTTATTTTGCAGCATCATCAAAAATATTAAAAAATGGTTACTTTAAAAAACCTCAATCTCATATAAATGAACCCCTTCTGCCTTTCTATTTTATACCAGTTTTCATTACCTAAACATAGCTGTTGGTTTTTGCCTGCACATTATGTGAACTTAAGCTTACCATATTAAAGACTGTCATTCTTTCATATGGATTTTGTAAGACCCAGGGAGTTTTATTTTGAGAAAAGAGGCAAACTTAAGTTTCTGTGATTTTCTGTGAACTGACATCAATTAATTACTTAGTCCCATCACTAAACGTGATGAAGGCCTTTCTTGAGCTATGAGAAGACCGTGCCAAGAGGGTAGCAGAACTAATGACAGGTTTCATACAGGAAGTTTGAAGAAGGATAGTCGTGACATGGAATAAAGAAAGAGAAAGAGAGAGAATGGGCAGTAAGCCAGTGCGTGGACCCAGGATAGATTGCAGGATAGGCTCTGCAGAGCTCTTAGGGGCTCCTGTTGAGGTCTTAACAATACTTTTAAAAGACTGCTAAATTTGCTTGAATGGCTGGTGGGAACTCTGCATACTCTGTTTTACCCCCTTTCAAAACAAACCCCAAGAGAATACTCCCAAGTGCTTGAAGGAAGAAATATTTTAACCCATTGTCTACTGAATCCTGGTTCCTTTTAGAGCATTGATTAAAACAACTCACATGCACATGTGAGCTGGTTGTATAGATATATTTTATTGTTAGCAACAGAATTTTGGTTCAAGTATGCAACAAATTATGATCAACACTAAAAGTTATCTTTTCTCTGTAGAATTTTTGGGCTGCAGAATCATCCCGACACAGAAAAGTACATGTCACAAAGTCAAAGCTGAGAAAGAAGATACTAAGAGGCTGACAGAGGCAATTTTAGTAATATCTCAGGCTATAGGGGTGTGGGCAAAATTGCCCAGATCCCCTATATTTATATTGAGTGCAACAAAGGAAATAAAAGGATTTTCCTATAAATTAACATGAATTTTGTCTTTCAAAGCATTGACTTTTCTTCAGGAAAAAACTAATTTCATCAGGCATTATATCCAATTCACAAAACATGACACCGATTGCATATCAGTAGAGATTATTACTTCCGTACAATTTGCTAGATCCATATCAAATACTGCTCCAGCTGTTTCTCAATCATTATATCCTTTCCAAGATTGCTGGCAAAATTTTAGATTGATGCTGTAATTGATTGAATGAAGAGGTGGAGTTCGGAAGTGCAATATGTCTGAAATAGTCTGATATTGCAATGTATAAGGGAACTTGTGTATTTGGGGTGCTTTTTTTGCATCATGCCAGCTCCCATCTCCCTAATGGGATAAAGACTTGTTTTACAATGAAAGAGAGTCTCGTTTAGATTGTAGATAAACTGATAAGCTGAAAATAGAAGGAAATTTTGTCTAGAGCTCCATACTATTAGAGAAGAACATGATGTAGTCACATTTGAGCAGAATTTTATACGCTACAGTTACATTGAACAAAAGCAGGGCGCAGGCTACAACTTCAGAGCAGGTCATGCACTTTGAAAATGTGCGAGTAACATTAGTTGATCTGCGGTTTGTCTTTCATCGTATAGGATTTCATCCATGTTTCCGTCTAAAAATGTTGCAGTAGTTGATCTGTGGTTTCAACTTGCATGGGATCACATGGTATTCACTCTAGACTGGTTTATTCACTCTTTAATATTATGGACTCTGGTTTATTTTTCATCAGATAACCCATTATAATATATGCATATCAGGTTTTGTTTTCATACCAAAATTTTCCTCACATCAATTGTTTAGTAGTAGATTTTAGCTGAATGACTTCATTGTCATTGATAGAGGTTATTAATACTGTAATGTTGCAGAAGTTAATCTCTAGTTGAGAGATTTCATCAGTTGACTGTATGTTGACCCTGACCTTGAGTCATTTCTATTTTGTTTTGAATGTGCACCAACGAGATCGAATTGGAACGCAATCTTGACGAGGCATCATAAAGTACATTGAAGCTAAAACCACATTAAAATCTGGATAATCTTGCATGAATCGGTAGTAGATTATGAGATGACATGATGATTATCAAGCTATTTTAAGGAGAAAATTGCATTGTACTCATTTGAGCTGTTTGTAAATAAAGTCACTTCAGTGAGCTCATGGATATAAGGTTACTATAATCAGCAATGAACCAAACTATTAGGGAGTGGTCATTTTACAGGTGATTGGAAAA